CATACATAGTAGAAGCCTATAGCTGCACTTCTTTAGGACTATGCATAAATTGATTTATCACATTCACATTATAAGCTATATTAGGTATAGTATGTGAGAGATAAATGAGTTTTCAAACTAACCTCTGATACATCTCTCTATCTATAATAACTTCTTCATTAGTTTTTTCAAGTTTATGATTAAGATCTATAGGAATATTTGCAAGTTTACATGCAAGTTTCTCAATTTTCTTCAAAAAATCTGTCACATATTTCTGTTATGAGATGAAAATACCATACCGTGAGTGGGCTGCTTTAATTCCTAAGAAGTACTTCAATCTCCTTAGCTCTTTTATCTTAAATTTTTGAGCCAAATACTGTTTTAGAGATTCTTTCTCTTTTTCGTCATCTTCAGTTACAATTATATCATCAACATACACTAATAGAACTATGATTCTCCCTGAATCCGAGTGCTTGATAAATAGTATGTGATCTTTTTGACTTTGTTTATATCCCATTGTTAGCATCACTTTGGCAAATCTCTCGAACCAAACCGTAGGAGATTGTTTGAGGTCATATAAAGCCTTTTTTAGCTTATAGACTTTGTTTACTTCTAGATGGCCTTATTCCAAATCACCATGTATAAAAGCATTCTTTACATCAAATTATTGACACTACCAATTATAATTTACAGTTAAGGATAACAAAACCCTAGTTGTATTCATATTGGTAATTGGAGCAAAAGTTTTTTAATAATCCATTTCATAAGTTTAAGTATAACCTTTAGCCACCAACCTGATCGTATACCTTTTAATAGTATCATCCACCTTGTATTTTATAGTGAAAACCCATTTACACCTAACTGAAGTTTTTTCTTTATACAACTTTACTACTTCCCATGTTTTATTTTTCTCTAAGGCCTCAATTTCTATTTTCATGGCTTGTTTCCATTTTTCAGTGGATAATGCTTTAGATAATGTAGTTGGAATAGAAATAGTATTTGGGCTCACAAGAAAATTTTTATGGGATGGTGAGAATTCTTCAAATGACACAGAATTAGACATTAGGTATAGTGGATGCTTAGCACATTCTCTAGTTTATATTTTAATGGCAATAGGTAGATCATAATCACTAGTTATAGTTTTAAGAGATTCATGCTTATTTTGAGAAATAGAGTTAAAAATTGTAGTTACCTCGTTTTCAGAGTTAGGATTAGGTTCTTAGACTTGCACCAGTTCAAGAGCTAAAACTTTCTTTCTTGAGAACACCTACAATTCTTTCATAGAATCAAGAACAATACTATCATTTATCACATCTTCTGTGTTTGGAATGGGTTCATATTCAAATTCAGTGTTTAATTGGGACTAAGAAGAAACAGGTTTGACTCAAAAAAATTAATAGGTGAAAATGTTAAAGAGGGAACAATAGGTTTAGACTTATAAAAATTAATGGGTGATAATGTTGAAGAGGAGGACAAGTCAAGAAAAAAGAAGTTTTTATCCTTATTTTCCATGAATAAAGTCTCTCCCTAAAGATAAGGTTAAGTAAAAAATGATTTACTTTCTTGAAAAGTGACATCTATAGACACATAAAATTTTTTGGTTAGAGGATGATAGCACCTATACCTTTTTTGAGTTGATGAATAGCCCACAAAAATGCACTTAACTACTATAGGATCCAATTTTCCCTTATTATGAATGTGAACATGAATAAATGATGTATAATGAAATATCCTAGGTGTGTGGTTGTTTGTGGTATTAAAGTTGGTATAGAATTGTGAAAGTAGTTACACAGAAGTTTTAAATCACAAAACCCTTAAATGTAACCTATTTATAATGTGTGTGGTAGTCAGAACATCTTCCCTTCAATAGGATTTGAGTATGTTTGCTTGAAAAAGTAAAGCTTAGGTTGTAACTAGTAAATGGTTGTTTTTTCTTTCTGCCACTCCATTTTGTTATAGAGTATTAACACAAGATGACTCATGGATAATCTTCTTTTTTTAAAAATAGGTTGATCTAGTTGAAATAGTCTTTTACATTATCAAACCTAAATCTCTTGATTTTCACTTTAAATTGATTTTGGATCATGTTTTAAAAGCTTAAAAACACACTATTCACATCTAATTTTGATTTAAATAAAAATATCCAAATGACCCTAGTACAATTTTCTATGAAATAAACAAACTACCTTACACCAGAAATACTGAAATTGTAGAGAGACCCTATATGTCATTATGAATCAAGTAAAAAAGTGTAAAACTTTTTTTGTTACTAACTAGAAAAGACACATGTATATACTTTGCAAGTTCACAAATATTGCAAAGAGAATTTTCAACATTTAATCCATTGAACAAAGAAAGAAACATGTTTTTCAAAGTTCTAAAAAAAGGATATCCAAAACTAAAATAATAAAGCTATGTTTTGTCTTTATAGGAGATTTTTCAGAAAGAAATGACAAAAGTAAATTATTCTTGATATTACTTATATTGTTTGATATTTCAAGATAATATAGCCCTTCTTTTTCCTTAGCAAGTTCAATTCTTTTTTTCAAACTTTGGTCCTAAAATTCATAATAGGAGAGATAAAAAGTCACTTTTTAACTCATGTCTTTAATAAGTTTTTGTATAAATATCATATTAGTAGACAATCTAGGAACATGAAGAATATTTTTAAGAGCAAATGATGGATTAATTTGAACATCTCGTAATCTTGCCATTGTAGTAAGTGAACCATCTGAAACAACAATTTTTTTATTACTAGGATACAGGGTATATGTACTAAACTTCTATAAGGAATGTGTCATGTGATCTGTGGCTTTTGAATTAATGACCCAAGAACTCATAATAGGCATAACTGAAACATTTAATCTATGAGAATCAAAAGCTTTGCCTAAACTTGAAACCTTACCCAAGGAACATGCCCCAGTAGGCTTTTCAAGGGTTTTCAATAGACTTCTCAGCTTTTCAATCTCTTTTCTATCCAACTTTCCTTATTCCCGAGACATTTGTAGTACTCTAGTGGTTTTACCAATTGACACTTCTTCAAATTGGGTAATAGTGATAGTAGATTTTATTATTTTTGACATTGTTATCTTTCTTTGAACAAATAAGTCTTAAGATATAACTAAAAATGACTCTTAGCAATGAAGGCTAAAGAAGCAAAAAATAAAATGGCTATGAAGGCCTTAATACCTTCTCCTTGAAAAAGATCCTTGTCTACCATAATTGTGTCTGCAACAATACCCTCTCCTTGAAAAAGTTCCTTGTCCTCAAGGATCAATGGAAGGATACTTCTTTTTCAATTCAAAAAGAATCTCCCAAGTTGCATCTTTGGGAAAGAGTTCATCCATTGTGATAGAACTTCTGTAACAGCCCTGTTCCCCCTTCGAACCATCCTGCTATCTAAAATCTGAACTGCCTCCTTAATTATGGTTCCACCTACAATGGACAATTGAGATTGTTGAGTGGAGGTACCCACATGTTTCTTGAGCTGAGAGACATGGAAAGTGGGATGAACTTTAGAGCCCTGAGGTAGTTGTAACTTATAGGCCACCTGCCCTATCTTCTCCTTGGCTATAGAAGGGCCAAAATATTTAGCAGCTAGTTTAGTACAACTCCTGTTCGCTACTGACTGCTGCCTGTAAGGTTGCAACTTGACATAAACAAGATCCCCTATTTTGAACTCTCTGTCACTCTGTATCTGTCAGCCATGACCTTTATCTTAGCCTGAGTCCAATTCAGATAAAACTTCATCATCTGAATTGCAGCCTCCTTGGCTTGTAAACTCCTGTCCACTGTCTCCACAACTAAACCAACTGCTAGATATGGCAGATGCAATAGAGGTGCTTGACCATAAACCACCTCATAAGGAGTCGTGTTAATGGCAATGTGATGATTGGTATTATACAACCACTTTGCCAGTACAAGCCATTTCGTCCACTCCTTAGGCGTTTCACTCACTAAGCATCTTATGTAGGTTTCCACACATCTATTAACCACTTCTGTTTGACGATCAGATTGTGGATGGTAGGAAGTAGACATGTTTAAGGAAGTTCCATGTCTTTCGAATAATTTGTGCCAAAACCAACTCATGAAGACCTTATCCCTGTCTGATACAATAAAGCGTGGCATCCCATGTAACTTGAAGACGTTATCCATGAAGAGTTTAGCTACTGTAAGGGCTGTAAAAGGGTGCGAGAGGGCTATAAAATGAGCATACTTAAATCTGTCAACCACCACTAAAATGGTGTCTTTGCCACGGGACTAAGGCAAACCCTCTATGAAATCCAGTGAAATATCGTACCAAACTTTATAAGGTACAGGCAATGGCTGAAGGAGCCCAGGTGATGCAACATTATCACCCTTACATTGCTGACATATGGAGCATTCTCTGACCATCCTTCTGACATTTTTTTGAAGCCCTTTCTAGTATAACACTCCAGAGATTCTATGCATGGTGACAATTATTCCTGAGTGACCACCTGTAGGACCGTGATGGAAGTAATGTAACAATTCTTTTTTCAATTCTGGTACTGAACCTACCACCAATTTCCCTTCCTTCTTAATTGATTCCCATGCCATGTATACTTAGAATGTGAGACTGTATTGGACTGTAACTCTTCTATTAATTTGTGCAGCTTTGGGTCTTGTTTTCAAGAATCTTTAATTCTACTCAGTAAATTAGTGCTCATAGTGGAAATTGCCATGATTTGAGTTGGACTTAATTCAGGTTTGCTTGATAAAGCATCAGCTACAGTATTAGAGATTCCTTTCCTGTACACCACCTCATAGTCATAGCCCATCATCATAGTGATCCATAATTGTTGCGCAAGTGTGGTGCCTTGTTTGGTGAGGAAAATTTTCAAGCTTTGGTGGTCAGTTTTGATAATGAAATGTCTGCCAGTGAGATAGGCATTCCATTTCTTGACTGCCATCAAAACAACCATCATTTCTTTTCCATACACCGACAGGGCTTGATGTTTCATAGACAATGCTTTACTGAAATAAGTTATGGGCCTTCCCTCTTAAGTTAACACTGCCCCAACACCAAAACCAGAAGCATCAGTTTCCACCATAAAAGTTTTAATAAAGTCTAGAAGGGCTAACACAGGCACTATAGTCATTGCTGTCTTCAATCTTCTAAAACACTCCATAGTTGTTTCACTCCAGTTGAAGGCATCCTTTCTCAACAATTCTGTCAAAGGTCTCGCCAATAGTCCATAGTTTCTGATGAACCTTCTGTAGTACTCCTTAAGTCCCAAAAATTCTCTTAATTCCTTCACTAACTTCGGAATAGGCCGGTCAATAATACTGGAGATCTTGTTCTTATCCATTTCCACTCCATTAGCAGAGATTACATGCCCAAGATATTCAATCTCATTCGCCCCAAATTCACACACACTTCTTTTAAGGAACAACCTATGAGCCTTCAGAAGCTCAAACACCTTTCTCAACTGTCTTAGATGACTTCCTAAGTTAGGTTAATAAATGAGAATATCATCAAAGAACACCAACACGAACTTCCTAAATAGGATTTAAAGATACTGTTCATAAGGCTTTGAAGGTTGATGGTGCGTTTGTGAGCTTAAATGGCATAACCAAGAACTCATAGTGTCCATCATGATTCCTGAAAGCAATCTTGTATATGTCAGCTTCATTCATCCTAATCTGATGATAACCCAATCTCAAGTCCAGTTGGGAAAAAATCTGAGCTCCATGCAACTCATCCAACAACTCATCCACTAAAGGTATGGGAATTTATCTTTAATGGTGAATTGGTTCAATTGCCTATAATCAACACACTACCTCCATGTTCCATCTTTCTTCTTAACCATGACAACTGGAGAGGCGAAGGAACTACAACTTGGCCTAATAATTCCAGATTCCAGCGACTTTTAAATCATTCTTTCAATTTCATCTTTTTGGAAGTCTAGGTACCTGTAAGGCCTGATCTTGACTGTTAGAGCTTCATCCTTGAGGGAAATTTTACGGTCACGGGATCTATAAAGAGGCAAGTCCCGTGGTATTTCAAACAATTCAGCATATTCTTGCATCAGAGACTTAAAATTCACTATTTTCTTCAATTGAACAAGCTGCCTAATAACTAACAGCATTCAACTGTATAAGATTGCCAAAAGTAAGCATCAGTGTGCATGGATAAGGATTTTGACCAACAGTCAGAGATTGTAAAAGTTTAGTAGTCTGTTTGTCATCAACTAGCTCCACTGTGCCAGACTTAATTCCATGCAGTGTCTTCCACTTGCCTTGGTCCTTAAACTCCATGGTCAAAGCAGTAAAATCCCACAGAATAAAACCAAGAGTTACAAGCCGTTACACCCCAAGAACAACATCACAGCCCTTTAAGGATAAAGCCATGAAATCAGCAATGAAAGTAGAGTCCAGTACTGACCATTGTAGTGCTTGGCAAATTCCAGCAGTCCTCACCCTGTCTCCATTTGCTACAGTCACCCTCACCTGATGGTTTTGCCTCACACTTAGAACTGCAACCTTGGCGACTGTTAGGTCTATGAAATTGAGTGTACTACCTGAGTCAACTAACATCACCAACTTGTGATTTTTATCAGTCCTTCTATTCTCATGGTTTGAAAACCAGAAGTGCCACGGAGGGGCTCATTACAATCATTATTACTAGTCAACAACACTTCAGGATTTTCAATACAATCAGAAAACTTTTCAGTCTCAACTCCTTCCTCATCACAATCTTCTATCAACAGTTGATACAATTGGGATTTCATGCATTTGTGACCAACCGAATATTTAGCTCCACACCAAAAACATAAGCCTTTTTTCCTCCTTTCCTCTATCTCAGCTGGGGAGCGTTTCTTACTAGTAGTTTTCAAACTGTTATTTTAGGGTTGAAGGTTGTTAGGCCTATTAGGTGACTGATTTGGTGGTTTTATGGGGTGGAAGGAATAAGGATTAGGATTAGGTGGGGCCTTTGGAGTTGGTAATAAAGGTGGAAGGTTATTGGTGTCGGTATGAATAGTGCTGGTACAAGTCTGATGTATTACCAGGGGTGGTTTATAAGATGAGTAAGTCTTTTTATGGCTGGAGCAAATTATAGATTCAATCTGTTTAGACAGGTGTAAAACTTGGTTTAAGGTTTTTGGTTTAAACGGTTTGAGCGACTGGGAAATATCAGGTTTAAGGTTGCTGATAAAGATACTTGGAGCATACAGGTCAAACGATTGCAGCATGTTAACAATACCCAAAAATTCTTCACAATACTGTTCAACAGAAGTAGTTTGTTTAAGTTCGACCAATTCAGTCATGGGGTTCTCATACTCTTCAGATGCAAACCTTTCCCTCATTTCTCTAATATTCAGGTCATCCTAACTGTTCAAAACCCCCTTGAGACTTAGTATAATGCTGATGCCATTGAAGGGCTTTACCCTTAAGACTCACACAACTGTCCTCACCTTAGCATTTTCATGTACCCTCTCAGCCTCCAAATATTGTTCCAACTTCATATACCAGCCTTTGAAATTATCCCCATTAAATTTAGGACAATCTCATTTAAAGAGCTTAGAAAAATCAGAGATCAAATACCTGTTGGGTGTTCAAGGTGATGAAGTGTTCACGGTTACCTCCACTGAAAAAGGTTTGCTCAACCCAGAGCCAATAACAGGTTCCTTCACAAACTGTTTTTCTGATTTACTGTCAGATGCTTGATCATGGATCGGTTCACTGGATGCACCACTTCCATTCTTGTTGGCCATCTGGAATAACTTCTTGATCTCATCCACAAGCTCATTGCGAAATCTCTCCAACCTTTGTTTCATCCTAACGTTCATCTGTTGAAGCAGCCTAGACTCCATTTGCTGCAGCTCCACATGTGTTCTTGCTATCTCCTGTTGATTCTGCTGAACGTCCTTCTAAAGTCTGGTGGTAATTCCATCTGCCATGGTAGCCAAGTCGAAGCTCTAATGCCAAAATGATGAAGCAAAATAAACGAGCAAGAGAAATAGAAGATTTTTCAAGAAAATAATAGAATATAGAAATAAGAAAAATCCAGAACAGAGAAGAACCAGACAAAAGAATTTTATTTCCAAATCACAGAATGCGTCACCCCTCCCCTGGACTCGCTTTTTGTGCTGGCTAACAACTTCCAGCTACCTCCTAAACTCTCGGAAACTATCACTCAATTTTCTCTTTCCATAACGGTAACAACAGTAGTTGGCAATGTAAAGAAAATAAAATGAAAACTAGCCATATACAACATAGGCCGCAAAAACAAAAAAGGAAATAAAAGCAGCCCAAGTGAAATAAAGGTAATGAGCCCAGCCCAGCATAATTGTGCTTACAACATGTTGTTATGATTCCCTTGGGAAAATATAATATTAATGAGGATGGAATGGATATTACCTACTCTTTCTTGTTGATAATATAATATTTCATGGTTTTGAAGTCCAATAGTTTGGATAAAAAATGCTCAAGGGTGGACGCCGATAGGGTAAGTTTAAAACTATGGCAAGAATGCTATTGATCATGGCTGCCTTGAATGTTTGGTGTACACATAAATTTATATGTTAACCACTATTTTGTTATGGCAATTACAGACGCTCCTGTTTTGAATTTTTTTCGTTTTCTTTATCTTCAATGTGAAGTAATCACTGATTACCTTTTCAATGGTTTTCTTTTACCAAATACCTCTCTGGCTTGCAGAGTTGAGCTTTCTTAAAAGATTGATACTTGTTCATGGCCTTTATTCCTACAATCGCACATCATTTTTATCTTAGTATTCCTTCTACAAGTCACTAGTTATATGCTTCATCCAAATTTTGTGAGTTCCTAAATTTAATGTTCCCCTATATGTTGTTTTTCATCGTACTTGATTCCCACTTAACTTGCTTATGAATTCTTTTCTTCTGACACCAGAACACATCAGTTTCTCTTTTATTTCAGGAGTCTCTGCAACTATTCTTTTTAATTATGTTAGCTTGATGGTCTATAATGTTTTCTACACTAGTATTCCTGCTCTAGTTAGTGTCCTTGACAAAGATCTTAGTGAAGGAACAGTTATGCAGCATCCACAAATTTTATTTTACTGACAAGCTGGAAGGTTTGCTGTTTTTCCTCCTTTTATATATTTATTTATTTGCATTTTCTATATAACAGGGTCAGGATACGAAACATTGGAACTTAACAATTTGTTGTATCATTTTCGCATGTAACTATACGGACTGCTGGTTAATGGTCATCTAACTGATACAGGGTTGTTTCTGCCATAGGCTTCTGAATCCAGGTACATTTGCTGGATGGTTTGGTTAATCTCTGTTCCATGTGAGTGAAGTTCTTTATCAAAGCATGTTTACTGATATAACTCATGAAGCAATTGAAGCAATTCTAAAACACGTAATGATCCATGACATTAGTTAAATCTTATACCATTGATTGAGACTTCATAGTCAGAAAGTGCTTTTTCTTTTATCTGACTCCTTGAGCAAACTCTAAGAAACTTGATTAGCTAGTCTGAAATTTGAAATAGCATCGTAGAGTGATTACTGATTAGGAACATATGGGAGACTTTGTCTTGTCTATGTTGGGAATCCAATAAATGGGTGGGAATCATTTCTCTGTAATGCTTAAAAGGCTTTCCAAATTGATGTGCCTTGCAATGGATTGACAGAGAATGCGAGTGACAGGTATATACATGATTTCTAGTCCCTGAATGTCAAGATGTTGGATGCGGGGATATTATTTCCTTCAACGAGTTCTTGAGATTGTTTGATAACTCACCTATCGTATCTAGAGATTCTCTTCATCTATATGCTAGGGACTAGGTTTAAAGTAATGTTCATCGGCATGGTTAAAATCTTTTGCTTGTTATTTTATCTGTTTATGTTGGAGTGTATTTTGAACATTTTTACATTTGTAACATTTTGCTTTATTGCCCCATCTATTGATTTTTATGGTTATTTGCAAGCAATTGTTATATTTGTGATCACCATACATGCTTATGCGTATGAGAAAAGTGAAATGGAAGAACTCTATATGGTGGCACTCTCAAGATGTATATGGCTGCAGGCTTTTGTTGTGCCAGTAGAGACAACGTATGCTTCCTTCTAAAAAACTGCAGAATGCACTAAATATGTTTGAATTTCTGTATTGTTTTCCCTTTTTCCTTTTTCTAACGATGTGTTTTAGGCTAGCTTATAGAGAATAAGAAAAATGGTATGTGATAGTTTAACCCTGCTTTAGGATTCTACAAAATATTGTTTTTCCACAAGTTCTGATGAGGGGAGTTTTATTTTCTTGTTCACCATAACTTCACGGCCTGCGCCTGCCAGAGGCCTGGAGCTTGCTAATTGGCCCGTGCCAATTACTTTTACCCTAAATTTCAAAATAATTGCTTCAAACCTGGCCATCCTGACTTGTTGAGGTTTAATTGGTGCTTGCAGTTCCTTCACAATATTGCAACATCTTGCCACATGGGGGAATTTAGTTGCTTTCTATGTCATCAATTGGATTTTAAGCGCGGTTCCTTGAACGGGGATGTACACTGTCATGTTTCGGTTATGTAGACAACTATCTCATTGGTAAGTTTCACCTTTTCCTTTTGTTTACTTTACCTTTCGATGTTATGGGGAGGGAAAACAACTTCCATTTCTTTCTGTCCTGTTCAATTAGTCGTCATCGGATTCCAATTCCTCCAATCATCTTCTAACTTGTCAGCTTCCAGTGCCAATTTAAGTGATGGAGGGCTAGTCCTTTTGCCATACTCTAAAACTTGGTTAATGTTTTACTTGGTTCAAGATATTGACCAGCATTCACTTGATATGATACTTGGTGTGATAAAACTAAACTTCCTTTTTTTTCTTTTTTGCCCCTAAACAGCTCATAGTTGCAGCAGGGATGGGTCCGGTTCTATCTTTGAAGTACTTCCGGTATACATACAAACCAAGTAAAATCGATACACTTCAGCAGGCTGAAGAATAGGTGGGCCGATTCTAAGTTTAGGATACAAGGGTTAAAAGTGTAAATTGCATATAATTTTTTATTAATTTTTTTTAGTATTGAATCATAATTAATTAATTGTATTGTATTGTAATAATTGTAAATAATATATTTCACAAAAAGACTAACATTAGCTTGTGATTTTCCTTTTTTTTTTGGGTATTAGCATCATAAAACAAGCTTGCACACATTTAGCGGCAGGAATGGAATAAGGGGGGGGGGGGGGGGGAATACATGATTATTTACATCATCTTGACATATCGAATTTGAATGTATTACTGTGATTGATGTTATCTATTCTTTCA